TTTATACTTAGTTCTGTGATCCATCGTAATCATAATTTGCTGTCTTACTGCATGCACTCTTGTTAATTGTGCTCCCTTGTTGACTTGTATTTAACATTTTATGTGTTTGTATTTTATTTGGGCACACTCTTTCTCCGTCATCTTGCTATCCACAGGGTTTGTAGAGTCATGAAAAACCTGGAAAGTCATGGGATTTAAACATAGCAATTTCCAGGTCTGAAGACGTTTTGACAAAAAATAAATCAAAGTCATAGAAAGTACTGTTTATATAGTGTTAATGCTTGGGGAGATAATTCACGTCACATAACGTTATGTTGTTCTCTGCGTGGGTAACGTCAGACTCCAACCTCAGTGGCAGCTTGTACCTATAGTAAAGATGTAAATTTGCCTCTTGCCAGGGAAATGCTGATTTATTAATGTCTGGCTTTACTTGGACAAGTAAAAGGCATGGCTTGAGAAAGACCAGCACCCAGAGCACGCACAATGTGGACTGTGCAATGTTAGTTCAATCAGGAGTGACTCATTCTGGGAGAAAGGAATATTAATTAACATGGGCACATAAATAGAAATGTGAAAAGTCTTTGGCAATTAGACCCAATTGTGATGTCATCTATTCCAGGAGGGTGGTAAAGACGTAGTGATTAGGGAACTCCCCCCTGTGGAGTCTAGACACTGATGGTGGTAATGGTGGTGATCTGGATGTGAAGAGGAGTGGGCTTTTGATGAGCTTGTTCTGGGCTCTGGATAAGGTGACTGGAGATGAATAGGGTGGAGGAGGGCACAACGATTCTGTCAAAAATGCCAGCTGACAGGAACAGAGAGGAGAACAGATTTGAAGTTTGGCAGCAGCAGTGTTGATGGCTGAAGGAGATTGTGGCAAAGTTTGATTGGCTAACTGTTTAATGGATATAGCATAAAGAAAGTCTTTCTGATTGAACTTACCTGAGCTTCATTTAAGCATTTGACATTTTGTACATAGGAGAGGCGGCGCTTGCTAGCCATGTTAAAGGAGCTAACGTTAAGCACCACGCTGCCACTGCACGAATCAACTCCCAGTATTGGTGTTGCCGGCACTTTTACCCCAATGACCAACATGACACCTGCTGCCACCTGCATTGTTTTCCTGTGATCCACCATCAAACAAGCGCATTTCAGGTGCTGTGTTCACAAACGAAAGCCCTAACTGCAGAGTTATGGGCACTAAAGCTGGCTAATTCTCACTAACGTTAATTCTACAAGTCATATGAAGACACAAGCCAGCTTTTTCAGGTCATGGTTTCTCTAACAACCAGATAGCTCCCAGATTAGCATGCTGTGAACGCAAGTGCTCATATACATTATATGTACTTTTGGACTGTCTTCTTATTTTTAGACACTGATAAGTAAATGAATGTATGATTGTGAAAATTTACATCCAAGGAATAGAAAAGTTATGAAAATGCACAAGGTCAAAATGTGTCCCTGTATACCTATAAAGAGACAGCAAGTCAGGGTGTATTTGAACCCAAAATAGATAAAGATCACTCAGCCCAGAGTCACCTTTGGACACATCAACAACTCCCACCGTTATCAGGTTATTTCCCTTTGTCGTTAAGGCAGTATTCCACTGTGTACAACTCCCATCATTCTAGCCTCTCTTCTTCATGCCCTTTGCTCTGTTTTTGTTTTAAACATTAATGAAATTCCTAAAACATTGGGGAAAAAAGCACAAAAACAAGAGGGAGATAAAGAAGAGTCAAAGCCAGAGGAGACATTTAGGGCTGTTGTGGGAAATTGCCAAAGGTGGAGGAGAGAGACGAGAGGCCAAATGAAACAAGATGCTTTTTCCAGATTTGTTTTGTTTTGTTTTTCACAACTTTGAACCTCTGAAAATGAGCAAAACAGAGGGATTTGGTGTTCTCATAGAAAAGGGGAGGACAGGGAGGAGCTGCGAGGGTGAGAGGAGGAGTAGGAGGAGCAGAGAGGGTTGGAGAATAAATAAAACCAGCTTTTATTTCCCCCACTCATCTGCAGATAAGAAGAGAAAAGGAAGGATTTGGTGTCTCTAGAGGAGACATGGGGAGGGGGAGCGGTTGAGTGGAGAGAGGGCGGAGGACAAAGTATAGGGGTCAGGGAAGAAGCGCCAAGAAGAATTGAGGATGAGGGATGTGTTTTTGCTTTTGACTCTCATCTTCAAGTAAAACACTAAAGACGAGGATTTGGTGCCCTCGGGGGGGATGGAGGGAAGGGAAGAGAGGTGATGGGTTGAGGTTGATGGGGATGCCTGCAGGCCAAGACTTCAAGTTTATGGAGTAAACAACTCATGATTCACTCCATATGAGCTGCAGGGCATTTTGGGGGTTACACAGTACCCAAAGCTTCTGGTTTCAGGTAGTTGGACTTGGTGTACATATTTGGGGACCATTAAATTGTCCTCAGGAGCGAATGGTTTTGTAACTGAATGTTCAGCTTGAAGGAAGATTTTGATTGGTGAGAATGGATTAACTATAATGCTACCTTCGCTTAAATGCTTACTAGGACTACATGATTGAAAAGATCATTGAAAACTTGGCAGGGATGATGCTTAGTATGTGTGATGATAGATTTTCTCAAGCTGTTAATCAGTCAATCAGCCGTAATTAGCATTTCATGCTTGTTTTGAAGGTCAAATAAAATGATCTGGTTTAGGTTTCATTTTTATAAATCAAATTATACTAAATCAAGACAATCCAGAGAGTTTGCATGACATGTATTTAGATCTTATTTCCATGTTTTGATTGAAGAAGCCAATGAAAGGTTGACAGTAAGCGGCCTGAGGGAAGTTAGGGAAGATGTGAAAGACAAAAAAAGGAGCAGTTTTATAATATGAGATGAATATCAAGTCTGCGCTAGTACCTTCTACCTCCCTGCACCCCTGTATGTGTTGGTGCGCTGCACACTAGACGATGCATGATTCGATGTGTGTGGTCATGTCAGAATGTGTGTCTCTGTGTGTGTGTGTGTATGTGTCACATTCATTTAGTCTCAGCTGTTAAAAGGCTAACAGCTTTAAGAGCACGCCACCACTGAAAGCCACACTGGGTAAAGTCTGTTAAGTTTGTCCCCAGAGAGACAGAGACGAAGATGCAAACAGAACGTGACAAAGAGAAAAAAAAAAGAAACGATGGATAAACGCCTGTTGAGAGGATGAATCTCAAAATGATCCTTTCCTTTTAAGTGTGTGTGTGTGTGTATGATGTGTATGGTGTGTGTGTTTGTATTTCCTGTGCACTGGTGCATCTATATTTCTTTGAGTTTGATCCTTTGAGTGGGGCACTCTGGATAATTCTTGCCTGCCGATGTTTCTTTGCATGCCCTTGACTGCCCACTGTGAATCTTAATTCTCTTTTGGCCCACAGATCTGCCTTTTTAGCAATTTTCAGCATTTTCTCTCTGTCCTGCATCTTTTTTTGTTGGCTTTGTAATTCAGTTCCCTTCAGGGGTTTTTATGTAAGCAACTGTTTGGGATTTATGCCACGTTTTACCCCCAAAAGCCAGCAAATAGACTCCTTACTTGTTCTGTTTAGAAAGTAGATACTTCAGAGCACAGGGCATTCATACAAGGTTAAACCTGTTAAATTATTTCACGTCTTCTTCAAGGCATAAATAGCCCTTTCTTTTGTTATTTCTTCCTTTTTTAATAATTAAAATCAATTGTAGACCCAGAGCTCTCACTTCTCTTATGGTATTTCAAGAAAATCTAATTAAATTTGACAGCAGAGGACAAAAAGTGTTGAATCTTTGACATTAACTGTCAATGTGCATCCTTGAGTCTCAGATCTCACATACCTTATTTAAAATATTCAAAACACTATCAATTTAATTCTTGACGCAAATGTATATTGGTGCATATGGAGCGAGAGTCATATATCCGCCTAATTAATGCAGATGAGTACAGCTATACCAATGAAGCCTGTATAATACTACCTCTGATCACCATTGATCACATCCCATGATGACTCACCAGCCTTAATGAACGTTAATTACATTCAAATGAAATCCACTGAGATTAGTCAATGAACCGGTCGTACCTATAATATTACCTCTCACCACTATAAAGTGTGTGTGATGGCTTATTTATGTATGTGTGCGGTCCGCAGACACATCACATCCATCCTGTCAAGTGTGCTGTCATGTGCAAATGAAATGGAATCAAAAGGCTTTTGCGTGAGCAGAAGGCTTAAAAAACTATCTCCTGGAAACATATGCACACGTACACACGTTTACACATAAACTGGCGTGTGCACACGAGACGCGTTTCGAGCACACACAAACAGAGATAATCACCACACACATACACAAAGATGGCAAAGGCTGTCTCGGTTGGTGGCGGTGTTACCTCCACCAGGGACGATAAACGTCAGTTCTCATCTCGTCACCACATGACCCTGTGCACATCGCAGAGGATGGATGGAGATCCATGGATGGAGAGAGGGAGAGAGATTGTGTCCTAGGGCTAAAATTAGCAATGATTCTTCCCCCAGGGTTTTGCAAGGACATGCAGAGTACCTGCCAACACAAGTATGCACACAACAAACACACACACACACACACACACACACACACTTTTTACTCTCCTCTCTCCTTCTTTCCATCTGCTGACATGTACCTTTCGAATCTAATAACTATTTCTGCAGATGATGAAGACAATGGTTTTTCATTGCTCAGTGTGGTGATAATGGGAAAAGTAGAGCATATGAAACACGGCCTTAACCACTTAATATGTCTTTTGAAGATGAGTATGAAACATTTCATTTTACAGGGATTTTTATGCAGAGGTATCCAACCAAGTTTTGGTTACTGTTTTGTTTTCTTGTCAAAAATGTTGACTGTAGGTCTTCTGCAACAATAAATGACCTGATGTAGTTGTTGATATTGATTTTCCTTTCTCTCCATTTCTCTCCCACTCCCTCCTTTCCTGAACCCCGATCATCCCTCCTCCTATCCCTACCACCATCTTTCTCCTCATTCCACCTTCTCAGGAGATCTCAGACTACGACCTGCAGGAGTTAGTCATGAAGTCGATCGGCCGACTGACGTTGGTGCGCCAGACGTTCCCCATGCCCCAGAACACAACTCAGCGCTGTGTCAAACACAACCACAGGATTAACACCTCCCTGTGTGACCCTAAAAACCCAAAGTCTCAGCAGCTAGAGGTGAGCTGGTTTTGAGATTTGTCCGTAAGGCAAGTCAGTGATTTTCAACAACTCAAATAAAGATGCTGGTTGTAAGTGTCATAGTGTCAAGTGTCATAATAAAAGCACAGCAACTGATTCTGTAGCTTGGAGCAAGATAATTGTTGTAAAATAAAAACTAAAACTATGTTTAAAAGACATATAAGTTCACTGAAATGAAAATAAAAACTAGACTTTAGAAAAAAAGTACTGAAACAATAATATGTATTTACAAAACTCACTAAAATACAATAAGAATTTACAGGATGTGTTTGGTTTTGTCAGGTTGGTCAATTGAGCTTCTTTAATATTGCCCCTGACAAATACCTTCTATATTTTTTATCCCTTATTTTTTTATTGCAACATATACAGATAAACAGAAGCAACTGTCCACAGTCATGTAAGGCATTCAAGACTTGTGCACATTGAAACAGTGTTGGGACGTGAATCATTAACACTTGCTGATGATAGTTCCAGGTAAGAAATGTCCAAAAAGCTCCGAAGCCAGTGAATACTTGAGTTACATGAAGGTTTCCAACACTGGACTAAAATCTTCTTAGCTGTGGTTAGGCCTGCCAGACAGATTTTGTGAGTTCTGTTCATTAGGGAAAGGCGGGAATCGTGGTTTAGAAGATGTACAGCAGGATCCACTGGTAATTGCATCCATGTTAGTTTGGCAGTGGTACTTATAACCTCCCCCCAAAACCAGAAAACCCAGGACATTCTCATACAACATGTAACGACCCAACAGTTTGTTGGGTTTTTGTATCAGGAAGTGACTTCATTCATTCAGTTGCCGACCTGCTGTTGCTATCCAGCCAAAAACTTGTGTAAATACAAGTTAAAATGAAGAACAATACACTCAGTCACATAGCAGAAGAGACCTGTTTTTTGTGGAGCTGTTCCCACTGATCAGCTCCTTTTTGTTGCATTCAACACAACCCTCCCCTCCTCAGCTCCAGTAGATGATGTACGTCCCGCGTGGCTGGTGGAGGCTGCACAGTCATCAGCCATTATCGGAGGCAAGTTCTGCCGATAACGATAGTTTTTGAAATGTCCTATGGGCACTGTTTGGCTGGCTAAACCGACAAATTGGTCGATCTCTAGTTTAAAACTGCGACCATTAACAGTCATATACGACCTATTCTGTCTTTTAGGTATTTGGACGTGTCGATCTCCTCCCACCATAGGAGGTCTAACTTAGGAAATACTCCTGTTGGTCTGTCAGTGGGCAAAACCAAACAACCAATGTTGTTGAATGATATAATAATAATTCCTTTTAATTTTTAGACTAAAAGTTTGAGTGTAAATGTTCATACAGTGAGCTCAAAAGCTGATCATTTTCGCCAAATAAAAAGCTTCAGTCAATAACATCAGCACTAGCCAAATATCCAAAGCTAGTGTAGGGAGTTGTTGCCGGCCTGGTCTTTGGCATTCTGTCTCCTTGCAGTTTAATTAGCTGGAGGGATGACCAGAAAAAAAAGAAAATTAACTCTCGTCTAAATCAAGTCTACCAAAGAGCAAGACATCATGAAATTAGGTTCAGTCATTTCTTTAACTGGAAGCGGGAAGGGACGTCCAGTGGGAATACAATCAATTGATCGCCAACTACATTATTGGGCAACTTTGCCCCCAATAAAAAACAGTTCTATAATCAGAGCAGCGCAGTGCTTCAATGTGGAGACTTGAGAAAAAAAAATTGAGCTTGGTGTTGGGTGACATCACTCGCATAAACATGACAACTCCATCATACAGTTGCTTATTTGGATGCAAGGACTCTAAACAATCTTTACATGAGCCAGAGCTCATTTCATATTCCTATCCTGCTCTGTCTGCTCAATTAGTACTGAATATGCAACACTAAACCTTGACATTCAGAGACAAAAGACAGCTTACTTTGGCGCATAGAGTGAGGGTCCGTCATGCATTCATGGGTATTGAGGTATCGTTTTTGTTTCAAAATATTTCAAAAGTCAAAGTCCCAAACTAGTTATGTATTTGAAAGCTGCTCTGGCGCCCCATTTCTGTCTTTTAAAACTGCTCCCAGTGTTTTAGTTTGACATTTCAACACGTCTTCCGATCCAAAAGCTTCCGTTTACACCAGCCTAGCTGATCTGACATTGTTACAGCTCCTGCCTGTGAGGTTGGGTTTTTTTTTAATTATTTACCTGGAACATTAATCATTTTGGGAAGAAAAGCTGGCTCACAACTGTATATGTGTTTATCTCAAACCGTGTGGTCATGGAAAACTCAGTGCCTGTTTTTTCTTCCCCACTTTCACATTTTCTTTACTTTACTAATACGTCCCCCAGGGTGGCTCTATATATGCAATTATTACCCCCTTTTTTTTGTGTGTGTGTGTGCGTCATCGCGCTGCCATCACATAGAGCGGAGGAAAGGGAACACACTCTTATTTATGTGTCAAGACAAAAATATGAAATTGAATTAATGTGCTGTTGATTTATGTGGATGCATAAGAGCCTGAGGGAACACATTTGATGAAAGTTGGAAATACATTGAAAGCAGAAACGTGGTTTTAATGTCTATGTGGATATCTCCCCTTCAAGTCTCAAGACGGTTCTGTAATCAGTGAATGGACACGTTTATTTGTTTTTTTAATCAAATGAAATATAAAAATAATATTCAAAAAATGCCCTTAAGGTTAAAAATCAGCTAAATGCATAACACATTTTTTGGAATATTTCTAAAAGGTTGATTAAAGCCTAGAGTTGGTTTGAACCTTGCCAAATAGTATGCAAAATACAGACATTATTAAGTCCTGGAGGCCCTGAAGCATTGAATAATACACGTAAATAAAGCTAGCCTTGTGCGTCCTAATATGAATCAAATGCTTTCAGAGTGTAAATAGCTGTCATCAAGGATCAAGCCCTTCCAACGATTCATTATTTGTTGGGGAGATGCCAGTTGTATGTGTTCACTCTGCTGTGGAGGGCCGAGAGTGTGCATGTGATTTCAGTCAAGGACAATGTGTTTTTTGTGTATCTGACAACGGGAGTGAGAGTAAAACACCATCGTGCATGCACAGTTAAAACATCCTGTACACATGTTCAGTTTGACATCCTATGTGTGTGTGCGTGGGTGAGTAAGTGAATAGGTGGGTGAGTGGTTGAATTTGAGAGAGAGGAAACAAGGGATGGGAGAGAAAGAGAGGAAGCAGATCAGCTCAGCGGTCAGAGAGTGGCCCAGAAGCCCAATTTCACACTGCACTGAAGCACATCAACTCAGGCTGACCACACAAACACACAAACACACACACACACACACACACACACAATGCTCGCTTGGAGTGCAAAACCTACTGATCATTCAAGCTCCCCATAGAGCAGTAGATTGTCAGTTTAATTTTCAGAGAAAAAGCAATAGGCACAGAGACGGTGAGATGGAATGATAGACGGACGAAGACAGCAAGTGAAAGACAAAACTGTGAGAGCAGAGACACATCGAGGGGAAAGTGAGAGAAAAAGTTTCGACGTAAGATAAACTCGACACCGCAGTTTTTCTTTTGTCCTGCCTGTCTGTCAGTAAACTATCTGACAAGTAACAAGGAGCATATATTTTGTCATCTTATCATCGCTCGTGTAAATTTAATGGAAAACCTTGACATGGCCACGTTCCCACTTGGTTCCCTTACATTTTAGAAAAGCATGCTGGAAGGAGAGTGAAGGACTGAACAGGCAATACAGTGCTCAGACATAGTTGAGTGTGCTGTACGTGTACTGAATTAATCTTGTAGCCTGGAATGAAATTCAAGTGTTTGAGTCTACATCTCTGCTGTTTGAAGAAAAATCCAAAGTTTCTTATTCTTAAAGATATAAGATAGACTCACACAGAAGTAATCCCAATCATCACTTATGACCTGCTAGAAGTGTGTGGCCGTGTCTGTATTTTCTTATTCACTTCCTATTTCCTGGTTTTGTGATGTTTATGGGCGTGTACCTCAACAGCGATCAGGTGAGGTGATGGCTTTATAAAAAGGTAGCGACTAGGTGCCAGAACATAGGCATCCAGGAGACACAGCACCGAAATAAATGCGTATATAGTGAGGTGAAATGCAAAACCAGAGTGAACAGTAACCAGCAACCCTGCATAGTATACCTTATAGGAGTCCTTAACCTTTGGAGTCAGACCTTTGACTCCACTAATTAATGATGTATTGCATTTTGGCTCCATGGTAAGTGGGGGTCATTTGCAAAACACAGTATCTTGAATAGAATAATCACCTGGTGTGAATTATAAAAAAAACGTAATAACCTTGTTTACATGGATTTATTTAACGCCATGTGGCACAGGTTGTTCAGTTTAAGGCCTCTGACCACTCCTGCCCTTTTATTAATGTGACAGGACAGGAAAGGCAGACTGAAGCAGAAGAAAAATAGAACATCACACACTCAGAGAGAGAAGACGTCAAATTGGAGAACTCAGAAGGAAGAGTGGAAATGTAGGAAATGAGATGAAAGGATTGAAAGAGAGGGGAATGGCAATGAAAGGAAAATGGCCTTGAGAGGAAATTGAGGTTGGGTGTGATTGAGTGGAGTGGGTGTGGAGGGTCAATCTTGTGACCTTAACCAGAACACTGAAATTAGTTTTAAGCTTTGTAAATACTGTGTAACATCTGCTTCATAGTTTACTGTTCCACATAACCAGCGCAGGATGAAATGGCCAAAATGAACGGGAAAAAACATGTGACATACGGGAGGCTGAAGTGACTTCAAGGTTTGATTACAGGGCTTTTCATACTCTGATCATGACTTTATTTCAGTTAAGTGTCAGAAGAAAATTGAAACATAAATGTTTCTAACACTGACACTATTAATGAAGATTTAAAGGGACAGTACACCCCAAACATCAAAATTGCATATTCTTCCTATTTCCTGTGGTGCCATATATCAATTCAGATTATTTTGTTGTGAGTTAATGAGTGTTGGAGATATCAACCATAGATACGTCTGCCTTCTCTTGAATATAATGGAACTAGATGGCACTCGGCTTGGGGTGCTAAGAGCACCAAAAAATACATTTCAAAAACTCAACAGCAATGTCTCTTTCCAGAGATCATGACCCGGTTGCTCAAGATAATCCGCAGACCTTGTTGTGAGCAGTTTCATGTAGGAACTATTTTCTGTCTACCAAACTACACCTGCCAACCATAATACCGCGCAGAAGGAAGCATGCATCTACTCATGGACAAGGGCTTGTGCCCGTGACAGCACGATATGTAAACAGTAATGGCGTCCTCCTTGGTAGAGCTGTAACGTTAGCTAGCTCAGTGGTAACAGGTGAGCTAGCAGTAGATGCACTCTTCCTTCTATGTGGTGAAACAGATGAAAGGTCAAGTTCTGCAGAGAGGAAGAAGTTCGTACATGAAACAAGATCTGTGGATTATCTTGAGTAACCAGGTCATGATTTCTGGAAAGAGACATTGCTGCTGAGTTTTTCCACGTTCTTATTTATTTTATTTTTTTTGGGTGTTTTAAGCGCCGCAAGTCGAGTGTCATCTAGTCCCATTATATTTGAGAGAAGGGAGACACCTCTATGGCTATCATCTCCAATACTCGGCAGCTCACACCACAACAATCTAGACTTATAAACAGCACTACAAGTAAAAGAAAAAATATATATATTTTAGGACATTATTTAATGAATAATTTAATTATAGCTGTACATTTGCATTTGCAGCATGCTATTTGCATTGAAATGGCACTATTCAGTCTGAAATGCACTGAAATATTTTCTTTGACATTTAACCTTCTTTAACAATATAATGAAGCCATTTTACCTTCATTCTTTATTCTAAAAGTTATTAAGTTATTATTATTATCCTCTGGAGGTTATTAAATAAATCAGGTTTGGGCTGAATTGGAATGAGGCAAATATAAATGCTTTTATGGCAAAGATGCAGAGTGACCTTCATCATTAATTAGCTTATAGGTAGAAATTCTTGAATTCATATTCATATTCTAAAACTGTTAACTCTAATATGTGTGTGTATGTAAGTATATGTGTCAAAAAATGAATGTGTAGGGCCAACTTCTTTTCGATGTATGAAAGTCATTGTCATTGAGCTCACGGCTTTTGCTTCTATAGCATTGTATTGTGTATGTGTGTTAATGTGAGTAGATACGCCTCACCTGCATGTCTGATTTTGAGTGTGTGTGTGTGTGTGTGTAGAGTCATGTCTATTGTAGTCAGTGTGTTTATTATATTCTCATTAACACAGAGACAGGTGACTCGGTAAATCACATAACGATAGATCACAGACTGAATAAACTCCTCTTCTTGTATCTTATTCAGTGGTGCCAAGGACATATCAATACATTTTAATTAATCTTATCCTTAAAGCTTTTCTGCTAGGTGAGCGTGTGTCTGTAGGTATGAGTGCACACGTGTGAATTTGAACCAAAAGTGAGCAATGTTTCAGATGAAAATACCGATGTTTTGCACTGTAGGTGCAGGAAACATGCTGCATCCTGACAGACAGATAGAGAAAGGGAGGAGGGAAGCTGCAAAGCTACAGTTTTTTTCCCTTTTTGATCAAAGGGCGGATGGATATGAATGCAGGTTAAAGAAATTTAGCTTTGATAGTGTTTCACCATGACAGAGTTTGCACCATTTCTTGCTTCTTACTGCTAATATCTGCAGGTCCTTATCTGAAAACAGATCTAAACTCCAAAACTGAAGCATGTGCAATTGTATTAAAGCAACGTGAGCAAGTCCCCAGCAGTGCATCTTCAGCAAAAGCAAAATGTCTGCATTACTCTGCCATTTCCTTTCTGTCTGTATGCCTCTCTGATTTTCTCCCTGCCATGTCTGTCTCTATAGATCACCAACCGCTACATCTATGACACCGTGTTGCTTCTGGCCAACACCTTCCACAGAAAGCTGGAGGATAGGAAGTGGCACAGCATGGCCAGTCTGAGCTGCATCAGGAAGAACTCCAAACCGTGGCAGGGAGGCAAGAGCATGCTGGATACTGTCAAAAAGGTATGGGGATGCAGACAAATACACACACACTGTTCCCCTCAAGTCTTGCAGGAAGGGTTTTTCAACTACGGTAGGTATGCAAGAATGCATACTTGAATCGCTCTGGCGCACACCCACCCACACACCACACACACACACACACACACACACACACACACACATATGCAGGCACAGAGGTAAGCCAGTGCCTGTTCCAAGAGGCAAGCTTCCTGAGTTCTATTTAGCTTTGCCATGTACCTCCAAATCTACACTATGAGATGATTTACAAAGGTCTCATCACTGAAATTATCCACGTGTGTATGGGTGCATGGTCACATATGGTGACACATGCACTTGCATATTACAATACGTTCAGAAAGCATCCTGAAAAGGTAGAGCAGCATGTTCAACAGTAGTTTTCTATCATTATAAGGTCTGTAATTCTTTACACTTTCAGCCAATCGTTACAACCTGATTTACACTGTACACTGACAGATAATTCCCTGATTTATATTTATTGTGGATAATTCAATGACCCGGAGTCACTTGACTCTAATATCAGTTTGTGGACGGTCCATCTGTTTCATCAGCCTCCTGCGGTGCTCTACCGCTGTGTAGTGCTTGTAGGTGAGTGCGTGCCAGTTTGAAAATAGCTCATAAAGACTTTGCCTCAAAAAAAAAGTTATTCCTAAAAGTATTGTAGCTATATCTGCCAAAAAAGAAGCTTTTACTCAAAGCAGAAAACATCTTTGTGTGAGTTTGGAGCTGAGGCTTGATTACTACAGTTGAAAGAACAAAAGTGTATACTCATCCCTTAACCCAACTACGACATGCAAGTTCAATTTCAGATTTCAAACTATTTTTAGATGTGTCTCAGGTGTATCTTTTAGCGGTGGGGGAAAAAACCCATTTCTGGCACTTTTCATTTAGTGAATATGTATTTGCATTTCAAGACAATGTGCTCATTACATGAAATTTTTGAGAGCAGGCACTATTGTTCCTCGGCTGAGACACTCTAGTTGAAACAGCAAGATGCAGTCACTGCTAAATTCATTTATACAATGTCATTGCTTGGTATAACTAAAACCCCCTCCAGGGATGACGAATGACATGGAGGAGGCTTTAAATAAGTCTTGCGGGGTTTTTTTTATGTTGTTCTTATCACATGGAAATCCAATTTTTGTTCATTACTTCCACTGAAAGTTTCCAAGTTCCTGTCTGAGCTCAGTAGACTTCATGACCCAAGTGCTCGTGAATTCAAAGGATTGCATACCTTGAAAAAAAAGCACATGCATCAATCAGCAAGTTTTGCTCAGTTCCTCAACAGTTGACTTTTGGGAGATAGAGGATTTCATCCCGCAGCTGTGATTTTATGAATCTCTGCATTTCACCTTGAGTTTAGGCTGGGGTTTGGCAACACTTTCATCACTGTTAAATCCAATTGGATCAATGCCCTCTGTTTTGATATCAATAAAAAAACTACTCCAGGGATGGCAGTTTGACTGAATGATGAAGCCAAGTGAAATGCTAATTTAGGATTAGTGTCAGACAATAATAAATGCGGCGCAATGGCTTTCATATCTATCTCTGCATTTCACCTTGAGATCAGGCTGGGGTTTGGCAACACTTTCATCAGCCAGCCCCGGCTGTTAAACCAACCCTGATGGCTGTCTCAAAAAAAAAGCTGTGTTAAAGAGCCCTAAGCAGTAATAGAGTTGAGTTCAGCAGCCTGGCATTAGTTCCATTTTACAGTGTATCAGCAGTGTGCTTTACTTACTGTGCGTGCCTGTGTGTTTAATCAGCGTTTTGGTATGTGGGGCCATTATGGTAATGATAAATACTAATTTGCAGCTGTTGATGAGGAGCTCTATTGATGTTGTTGTTTGGTGTTCATTGACAAATTCAGAGTGGGAAATGCAGCAGGTGAAACTGCTGTTACACTGATCCCCAGAGTCTGCAGTATGTGCTGTGTTGGAGCTGCTAGTAGACTATATGTCACTACTCTGTCATTGGCTGCTGTATATATATATATACCTCTGAGTTTCACTGACTCAAGCAGTTAGGTTTAGGACTCATTTTAAAATTTTATCGATCCCTTTAAGGCACAGCAAGTCCCGTGATGTAGCCCAAGATCTCCAGGCAGTGCCTATGAGGCTGTTTCAAAGCCTGAGCTTAACTTATTATTGCTTTCTATATAAAACCAGGCTTGTTCACTTTCATCTTATCTTTAAGCAGCTTTTAAACATTAAAAAGAAAACACTGGTGGAGTCGTACTGTTTATTTATGGCTCAGGTTTTTATTCAGTCCCACAGGGCCAGTGGCATGTTCTTTGTATCAGGTGCAATTAAAAGAAAGATAATTGTTGTGAAGCTGCCAACATTAATTAACTAAATAATTAGGAAAGGCAATGAACAGTATCCGAGCAGAGTTCACCCCTGCCCAGTTTGCAAGGAAGCAAAATAGCAAGTGACGTGCATTTTATTGAGGGTGAGGGTGTGTGTGTGTGTGTGTGGTTGACCCAGGGGAATAAAATAATTGAATATGGTAACAGCATACCGATGTGTCAATGAATGATTAACCAAATGGCGCATTAACATCCTTTATGAACTATATCATGAATGATATGATACATCCCTTCTTTCTATACACATCAACACCTACACACACCTCAGACGAGGGCTGTCACGGAGAGGGAATTTCCTCTGCAGTGATTAAAGGTGTCTCAATAGTACAGTATGTGGTATTACTGCCATTTTTTGTTGATATTTACTAACCCTTCATAAATAAGCTTTATTGTTAGGCTATTGTTAGATATATTTTTGCTTTTTAAATAGCAAAGATGACAAATAAAATGCCTGTTAAATGCAGAACAAGTGTTTTTTTCAGCTGAGACGCTTTGGTAGCGTTTTGTTGCTATGATACAAAATATCTGTGAAATTAAAAATGTCGATATGAAGAGGAGTGCTTGCTCTGGATGAAGGGGAGGCTGAAGCACGAAGGGAGAGAGGACGGACTTGCTAGTCTACGTGGGTTCAGTATTTATTCCTACTCCGTTCAGAGATGTGACAGTTGGTCTTTGTGGTCTAGGCTATCATCCCGCCCCTCCTCCATTGTGATTGGACGGTTTGGAAAAAAGTGACGGTGATGAGCAGCTGCAGGGCTTTACCCAAAGTAGGGCTGGGCGATTTAACGACTATGTATCTGTATTTGTCTTTAAGTTTTCAAGCAAAATATACATTTAGACACCATTTATATTGATATATCGGTCAAGTTGTGTTACATAACGCATACCAGTGTGCATCACTCCTCTCTCACACTCTCTGCACAGCTCCGCCTCACTCACTCAGTCACTCACAAGTTCTCCTGTTAATTAGTCTGCAGTGTGACATCAGTCTATATGTTGCACGTGCTACGCTAAATCAGTCTATGAGATGACAACACAGATGTTTCATAAACAAGACATTTATTGCGCAGACAAAGTGTTTCTCACTCCTTCCTTCCCTCAGCTCCTCTGTTGATGCTCTGTGCATAAATAAGATTAAAAGCCTAAATAAATAAAATATTTGAATCATTTTCCAGCACGAGCTGCATCTGAAAGGCCATGGAAAACTACTTTTTAACTCCCCCCACAAAGATTTTTAATCGTTCCCAACTACAATGGATTTAGGTCTATTGATACTTTTATACGCCTTATAGTTTTGCATCCTGTGTTGCAAACCTTTAAACCTCTGTAGCTCCAGTGCTGTGTGTAAAGAGTTAACGTACAGCCCTGCTTTTTATTTTATATAATTTTTCATTTACATGTTGTGCAGCTGTATATTTTCAAACAAGGAAAAATCCCTGTCTTTGCATTTTATTTCGATCACAGTCTATTTTTATAAAAGTGCTTGTGACATCTCAAATGTGGCTTTGACTTGCAACTGAAAACACGTCGCCCGTAGCGTAGAAAATATCGTGATCTATATTGTTTATCGCCAGTCAGCCTGAAAATACCAAGATTTTTGTCCATAACACCCAGCCCTAACCCAAAGTTGAATTTTCAGCTTTTGGCAACCAGAAAAAAAAAATACAAACGTGCAGAGCTCAGCACGAAATACAAGCTCAGTACCTCATCATGTTGCCGGCATTTGTAGCAGAGTGTAGATGTGTCACTCCCATGATAAAAACAACATGAACATAGCTTTTGTGAAGGTTGCCTGGCATCCCCTGTAGTTGGCTTGTCAATAGCATGGTATTGCATTATGGCACAAACCTACACTCAGATGCATGTGTGTGTTTGAATGGATATAATGTGACAGGTGAGGATAAGATGCAAGTAAATCCTATGAAGAAGTGTAATCACATGAGATGGCGGCGTGGGTGTCTATGCAAGTGTTCATGTGATTAGGCATTGACACCTTTTGCGCATGTACATTCATGCTTGCATCATAACCCAAACCACATGAATGGCACAATCCGTGTTTCATACACACAGCAGCAAGCACATACACACACCTACAGACGCACACAGAGCATGAATCATATAAAGGAGTATAACACCTCTCCTCCCCTGAAGCATGCACAGTGTCACTTTCACTGACAGGTCACACTACCGGGAGGCAAGGCAAAGGTTGGGGACTGACACCACACGTGTATTTGTGTGTGTGTGTGTGTGTGTGTGTGTGTGTGTGTGTGTGTGTGTGGTTGTGAGTTAATCTACCTCTCCACACAGGACATTTTACGCCCCTAGTGCAAAGTCCAAACACAGTATTCTTTCATCAGCCTTATTACACACACCTCTGCGTGCTGTGGACTGCTTAGTTTTTAAAAACGTTGCAACAAATCAAAAGTAGAATTTTCCGCCAAGGGCAAAATGTACTCCATAAATCTTTCCTGTCTTGGATACGCAAATAGTATGCACACATGAATCACACACACACAGAATCACACATATTTTATTCTGTTACAACAAAAAACATTTTCCCATTCAGTACCTGCTCTTACTGATGAGATATAATCATTTCATTAGGGACGGCCTGATGATTCATGTCTCTGCTTCACTGTGAGCAGTTATCATATCTGATCTTTTGCGAGGATAAAAAACTAAATTCAATGTCAAATTTCACAGGGAGAATTATTGATGAGGTCTATTACAGCCAAAAGAATATTGCACCATTGATGAGAACTGACAGGATTAAAGTGATAAAGATCATGACAACAATAAAGGCTGTGATTATCACAATTCAGTGATCAGTTTTACCAAGCAACAGTTGTCGTGAAATAAATCTGAAGTCAAATGAAAACATAAAATTTTGTCCCCACAGTTCGGAGTGAGCGGCCTCACCAGTTTCCTGGAGTTCACCGACAATGGCACCAACCCCAACATCTTCTTTGAAATCCTGGGGACAAATTACGGAGAAGACAGGGGACGAGGAGTCAGCAGGGTAAGTAGTTAAAACAGAGCCCCTGTGTGTGGTGCACCACTGTGGATGAGGGGGGAATCATTTCTGCTCTAACGCGTGGACTGGATTTACATAATTCCTGGATTTGCCAGGAAATTCCTCTGCACCTGCTCTCCACATTATTTTCATCTCATATTTATTCAGGCATCTCTCTCCTTGTGGCTGTCACCCCTGTGTAGCAGAATACAGCCCTGCTACCTCTCTGTATTTACTTCTAGATTTTACTGGATTTTTTTTTTTTTTTTTTTTCTTAAATATAAATGTGGCAGAGCAGACGTGAAGAAGCAGCAGTTAAGGTGCACCTTTACATTTTTATCTCTTTGAATTTACAACGCTCGTCTTTATCCTCCTGTGTCTGGGTGCATGTTCTTTTTTAATATTGTTCCTGTGCATCACTAAGATGCTGCATCAGCCCAGCGACTCACCTCCCCTTCAGTAAAGCCTGGTGTTAATTGGATTAATTAGAAGCATTTTCAAGTGGTATTTGGTAACGACACATGCATAATGGATTTTGACAGGCCTCCTGAAAGACATCCCTTCCCCTCACAGGCGCGCACACATAATACTGTTTGTTCTTTGATTGAGTGTGTGTGAGCATACGTGCGTACATGTGTGTGCATGTGTGTGTTAATGGCTGTGTGTACGCTTGGGCGTTGTAAAAGGTCCAGTGTGTAGGATTTAGGAGCAGTGATATTTATGAGTTATCACCTGAAATTCACTCATTCACTGCTCCCTATTCACTATATAAGGAGTTCCATGTAGAGCACTACATAATGAGCTCATTTGCAATATGAAAAAACACTTCTGGAAACTAGTCAGGTTATTTTCCCAGCGTCATTAATTACGTCATTGCCGTCGCACAATTAAAACATGGCATATCAACGTCGGCTGGTGAACCATCCATAACAAATTCTGACGTGCATATACAGTATGTGATAAAAAACATGAAATTATACCGAGCCTATTTTCCCCAAATGAAAAACATCACAAAGTACTTTGTGGTCGTTTGTGTTGTGTTGTGAGATGTGCTGCTCCGCTCACATTAAACACTGGCAGACAGACAAGAGGAGAGAGCGCAGCATGATTGCTACGTGTCCCACTAATGAAAGTAATTTTCCATTTAACCTGTTAGCTAGCATCATTAGCCCTACTCTGTACAGTAACTGCGAGGTGTTGTGTTTTCTTACCTTAGAATGAGTCATTTGTATAAACATACGGAGCGGGTCTTCTCCCACAGAGTTCTTAAAGTTGTTCTACAGTAGCCCTGAATGGACAAACCAAACACTGGCGCTAGATAGGGCTATTTGCATTTTCACAATGGCCACCACACTTCTCTTACACACATAGTACATGGGAGAAGTTTCAGTTCTGCATCCTCACCGCTAGATGCCACTTAATCCTACACACTGGACCTTTAAGGTATCACAGTATACCAGATTATTAAGAAATACAGAAGGTATGATTTTCAGTAGCATCAAAAATACAGACGCCCCTTCTTCTATTAAACTGATATGGAGATGCTGTATTGAGGTAATGTGTTGTAGTGCACTGCACGTGCCATCAGAGGTCAGTCTCTACTGGTGGAACGGGCAGCTGAGCTGAGAAAGATGGTGACTAAGATGGCGGGTATTACGTCACAGGACTAGTAAACATGGCCAGAAATGTCCAAAAGAGACAGAGTGTAGATTGAGCATATTTTTTTTGAGCAAGTTTTTTTTCCACTACACCATAGTTAGTGATACTTGGAACAATGGAAAGACAAGGGTTTTTTTTTGTTTCTGTTGAGTTTGAATTATTTTTTATGACAAGTTACCGAGGCAGTTAAACTAGCTTTAGTTCGGTGAAAGAGAGAAACTTGAATTCAGAAAGTGTACCACTATGTTTTCCTGTTTAATAAGGAAAATAGACATGAGAATATTTCCTTTCTTGATATTTGAGCTTGTGGAATGAAGCAAACTTTTGCATTCAGTTTTTCCTCTTACACAAACACTGTCACATATCTTATACTCTGGTGAAAAGTCAGGAGGGTATGAAGATATGAAAAAATAGATCCCAAGCTTAGCTCTAAGAGCCACTTAAACACATATTAATATTTGGTAATAATATCTGTGTTATTATATATAGGTTCTGACGATTTTATGTTTACACAACAGTTTCTGTATATTCTGAATAGTGTGTGATAGTGGACTATACTGAGTTTATGTTTATATTTACTTTATTTATGTGTTGGAATACAGGCACAAGTTGTTTACACCAGGTGTGGTGTGATAAGGCAGTGTAGTGCGTATGGCAGTAGAAGACTGTGGACAAAAAGCTATGTGAAGTTTGTGTTGATTTGGATCGTAACACGTATTTGATCGTGTTATGCAGTGTTTAAGTAGGTAAAACGTCAGAAAATATAGAAATAGGACATCAAGTTGGTAGTGGACCATATAAGCTATAATTTTTGAAGGACCTGGCCTGCTGTTTTTTTTGTTTGTCTTGTTTTTGTATTCTCACTCAACTTGTTCCCTGCCTCATGTGAATACCGTGGTCAAAACCGAGACACCTCAAAAGCTAAGTGGCCTAGGAACTGTGGTATGTTGAGACAGCCACTACAGTAGCTGTGTTCATGTGCAGGCATGGGGTGCATATGAGTCTGGCAGTCTGCTATTTTTTATGAAAATATATTCAGTGACTCTTAAGGACAGCTGATTTCTATGTTTATGTTGTAAGGCTCAGCAGAACATTGAATACGGATCATAATATACTACACTGCATGTATGCTTGGATAAGCATTTTTTTAACACTCCTGATGCTCTGGGATCAGAAAAAACCCCGCTGATGTCACAGTCCACTCAATTTTAGTGGATTATGCATGTAGGTGTGAAAACAGCAGGGTTAACATACGACACCCAGACTTGCAATGTTTAATCCCTCGTAAGATTCCATTGGCCAGAGGGATATTACACACACACACACACACACACACACAGTGTCTGTCCTCCATACCGGAGGGATCTCTTTTCAGATAGCAGTTGAGATAGGGAGCTGTGATTATGGATAATGTGGTGAGACACCAACATAACGCAGCACGCCATCACAGACAAAATTAATCTTTAAAGCACAGCATAATTACATTTAGGCACAATTCCCTAATCAGAGAGCATAATTACTTCTGAGGGAATTAAGGCACTTGTTATACAGTATTCCTGCCACAGTCTCCCTTAATATGCTGAACATTTGTTGGTCTGTCATTGGGATTCAATTAAATTCAAACATGGAATCAAATGACTGAAGAGAGGCTAATATTCCTCTCAGAGTGCCTGCATATTAACTTTCTCTTGTAGCTGAATCGTGCCTTTCTGAATGATGTAGCCCTCTAAAATGGTGTTCATACAGACCATCTAACCTGTAATAAAAGCATGGCAGATATATGTCAGGCTGGAGAAAAGGTTAGTGAAAATGGCTCTGACCACCCCATCATCAAGAAGGAAAGCCAATGAAAGCCCAACCCGACCCAGTGTGTGTACAAATGTAAAAGCTAAAAGGAAATTGAAACCCCGGGATAGCAGCAGTGGAAATAAAATGGCAACATCTCATGTCGTCCAAGTGTTCTATCACCGGCGTTCCCATGTTCACATTTGTAACTGTGAGGGTGATGCGTGTGCTAAGTACAATATCAATATCAATTCAGACCCATTTCATTTTTGCGATGGAAAAGGACAAGAACTGCTATGTATGTTAAAGTATTTCATCTCTTCTCTTCTGCATGTCAAGACAGGTAAAAGGTGAATAAAGTCATTAATGTAAATTGATTATTATGAAAAGCAACCCCGTCTCTCTCACCCCAGGTTAACGTCTTGCCTTATTTAATGATGGCATGAGTGACAGTACTTAATTCTCTGCTTAAGTGAAGGTGGCTTTATATTATAATGTATACAGATATCATGGTCCACTAGGTTGTGGTGCTTATTATAATTATAATAAATATTGCAGGGACACATCCCCCCCATGTAGTGTGTGCCTCATGTAGGCCTTTGCTGCATTTCATTCCCTCTGTCCCCTTTCTTCATATCTTTAGCTATACTATCAAATGATAGTGATAGCGAGTGAAAAAGAGAAAATATCCCGTGAGCAGCAGTTCTCTGGGTAGAAATGTCTTGTTGATGCCAGAGGTCAGAGGAGAATGGCCAGACTGGTTCAAGATGATAGAAAGGCAACCAACAACACGTCGAACCTTGAAGCAGATGGGCTACAGCAGCAGAAGACCACACCAGGTGCCACTCCTGTCAGCTAACAACAGGAAACTGAGGCTACAATTCACACAGGCTCACCAAAACTGGACAATAGAAGATTGGAAAAATGTTGCCTGGTCTGATGAGTCTGGATTACTGCTGCAACATTCAGATGGTAGGGTCAGAATTTGGTGTAAACAACATGAAAGCATGGATCCATCCTGCCTTGTATCAACGGTTCAGGCTGGTGGTGGTGGTGTGATGGTGTGGGGGATATTTTCTTGGCACACTTTGGGCCCCTTAGTACCAACTGAGCATGGTTTAAACACCACAGCCTACCTGAGTATTGTTGCTGACCGTGTCCATCCCTTTATGACCACAGTGTACCCATCTTCTGATGGCTACTTCCAGCAGGATAACGCACCATGTCACAAAGCTCAGATCATCTCAAACTGGTTTCTTGAACCTGGCGATGAGTTCACTGTACTCCAATGGCCTCCACAGTCACCAGATCTCAATCCAGTAGAGCACCTTTGGGATATGTTGCAGCCAACAAATCTGCAGTCAATCTGTGTGATGCTATCATGTCTATATGGACCAAAATCTCTGAGGAATGTTTCCAGCACCTTGTTGAATCTATGCCACCAAGAATTAAGGCAATTCTGAAGGCAACCTCTTGCATCCAGGTCCAACGTGGTACTAGCAAGGTGAACCTACTAAAGTGGCCAGTTAATGTATGTAGACAGTAGTAGCTTTCATTTATTG